GTAAATCAGAAAAAGGAGAATCCCCCTCTAAAAAAAGACAATCCTCTTTCTTTTCTCCCAACACCATGAATAGAAGAAATAATAAAGCCTTCAAGATTTGGAAAAGAAATAATGCAGAACCCCCTTTGAATTAGATCTTTTAAATAGAAAGGAATTTTATTTTTAGTTAATCCATTAATTATTAATCATAAGGAAAAGATTGGGACTTTATTAGTAGTCCGATTTTATTTTATTCAACATCTAACAACTGTTTTTTCAATTTGGTGTTTTTTATGGACATTTTCATAACAAAGGAGGATAGACTCTCAACAACCAGACCCAATCTCCTCCAACCAACATTCTCATCACCTAGAGAGATAAAACTATTCTGTTATTACCCAAAAAATGACCCTGAGATTTCTCCTTCCTGCCATCAGGAAGTGCTTATTTTCCTCCCCCTTGGACTATGTACAGTCTGCTGGTTTCTCAAAATTCGGGCATTGGTTAACAACCACTGCACTCCCTCTATACCTAAGAGAATTCTGAATCTCTTTCCTCTAGTGAATTCAATGATGCTAAGCCTAAAGAGACTACCTCTTCCTTCAACAGAGACCTTGAAAGATTTGGCCTGAATTGAAAGTTCTTCAACACCTTCCATCTAAAAAGAGAAATGAAAGTAAAACAAAATTTTCCTTGGTTGCTGGAAAAATCTTAAACACACAAGAACAACCCAAGAAAAAGAGTGGATTCTGGTCCACTGTCCCTCTCTTGCTTCTCTAAATCTTTAACATTATCAGTAAACGTTTTGATATGTAGCATTTGGATTGGAGACAGAAACAACATCAATTATAATCGCAGCATAACAGAATTTTTAAAAGTAAAGAAGCAACTTTTAATGAGCATTGCACATGCTTCTGTCTTCAGCTTTATAAACAACATAATGCATGCTTAATAAGACTCATCAGCAACATCTTATAAGGGACACTTATTCAGTTTTACAGAGATTTGCCTGATGAAAGTATGAAAAATCCAATAAAAAGGGAAGATTTACAGATCCATTATGTTTCGTCGGTGATATTCCCTGCATAGCTGCACTATTAGAAAAATAGACATTGGAAATTATCATGTCATCCTGCATAACAACCTTATCTGGCTGATGATAAAAATCATGTGCTTACACCTGGAAAATAAATTATAAATAGGTGGAAAAGATGGGAGGTGTATTCTCCCTAATTGACTGGACACTTTATAAGGATGTATAAATGATCCACTGGAAAAGGAAAAGTATTACAGATGCATTATGTTTCTTCTGTAACACTTCTACAATAGCTGCACTGTTAGAAAAATAGACATTGATAATAGTCATCTTGCCTAAGAGTCCTTTCTGGCTGATGACAGGATGAATGTGCTTGTACCAGGAAAATAAAATTATAAAAAGGGGGAAAGTATACGGAGAAAACAAAAACTGCAATCAATTTGTGTTTACCTGGTAGAAATTATATGAGTCCTTGTCCTTCATATCTTCGGAGCCATTTGATTGCCTCTGTGAAACCTTGCTTTCATCGTAAGAGGTAGATAGAACTGGGTTTTGGCCTTCCAAAGACTGATCCTCGTCACTGCTTTTGTTCGAACTAGTCTCTCCAAGTGACTTGTCCAGAAATAAGTTACCAGGCCACTTGTGTTCACTTTTAGTATCGGTATGTTGCGGTCTCTGCCCATAGATAC